TTTCAATCAGTCCAGTGGTTGGTGTCCGTAAGGGAAGTGTTATAGGGGTGTACCTGCAAAATTTTAGACCATTACCAGTCATTGGAGACAAACCAGGTGAAACTGATATCAATGATGTACCTATTGGTGCTTGTGTTACAATGGGATCAGCTAGCACTTCAATGCTTACTTGTACTGGAAGTAACCAACCTAGTTATGTGATACATGCTGAAGCTGATATCAGTAAGTCAATGACATGTGTTACTATAGTAATAAAACTCATCTTTTATTTCAGATGAAGTTGACTGTGGTACTCCACCTACTGTTAGTAATGCAATGAAAACTCAATTGGATGGTGACACACAGTATGGAGCTAGAGTCCGATACAACTGCAATACTGGATATAATATTAATGGGAATGATATTATATCATGCCTACTGAATGGATCATGGTCTTTACCAACTCCATCTTGTTCATTAGTAAACTGTAGTAATCCTGGTGAACCAGCTAATGGATATACTAATGATAATGTATTCACTTATCAGTCTACAGTACAGTATCATTGTAATGAAGGATATCAACTATCAGGTGACTCATCTATTGAATGTACAGCTAATAGTAATTGGAACAATACATTACCAAACTGTGCATTAATTAATTGCACTAATCCTGGTACACCCACCAATGGAGCAAGGACTGGAGTGAATTTCTTTTACAATTCAACAGTTTCTTACAGTTGCAAAACTGGATACAATTTAACAGGAGCTGCCTCTATTACTTGTAATGCTACTGGCCTGTGGAGTGCACCAGCACCTTCCTGTCCTCCAGTTAATTGTGGTGATCCTGGTACACCTGATGATGGAAGCAAAAGCAGCAATGTATATACTTATAACTCAGTTGTCTCCTTCCAGTGTAATTCTGGATACTCCTTATCTGGATCAGTCTCTCTCATTTGTCTCTCCAATGGTTCATGGAATGGATCAGTTCCTTCATGTTTAGCTGGTTGTTCTGATCCTGGAGTACCTGAGAATGGACAACGCCAGAGTGAAACTTTTTCTATTGATTCTGCAGTTTCGTTTACTTGTGATACTGGCTATACATTAACTGGCTCAAATTCTCTCCTTTGTTTAGCTGGAGGCTCATGGAATGATACAGCACCTACCTGTAATCCAGTTAGTTGTGGTGATCCTGGTACTCCTACTAATGGAACTAGAAATGGAACAGTTTTTACTTTCAATTCTACAGTATTGTATTCATGTGATACTGGATATACTATAACAGGAGCTCCCTTTCTCACTTGTCTATCCAATGGTTCATGGAATGCATCAGTTCCTTCATGTGATATTGTTAATTGTGATGATCCAGGTGAACCTACTAATGGGATGCTTCAAGGAGGAGCTTTTACATACAATTCAGTAGTAACTTACAATTGTTCTGTTGGGTATAGTTTAACTGGAGCTGTCTCTCTCACTTGTTTAGCTGATGGTACATGGAATGAATCAGTACCTTCCTGTGATATTGTTAAATGT